CCCTCCCCGTAGTCAGTGTCGTAGGCCCTTCCTCCCCCGCGCAGTGGGTGTGTGTGTGCGAGGTGGAGCTGTGTCTTTAACGGCCGCCCCTGGAGTCGCGTCGCCGTGGCGGCCGAGCAGTCGGCTCCGCCGGCGCCGCGACCAGGCTCCAGGAGCGCGCTTTTGTACTGTTTCTCTAGTATGTGTTGGTCTTCTATGTGTAAAATTTTTTTCCCATTCTCATCATTACAGGGGGATTTTGGACGGAGGAAAAAGAAAAAAGAAGTAAGAATTTGCTAAACTAGAATCCCCACTATTATCCTCTGCAGTTTCAATACAAACATTTTAAATTTAAAATTTTCACTTGCTTGTGGTGATGCTTCCATTGTTTTGTGCTTTCTGCTTAGAATGTACTTCAGACAGCAGGGCCTGATTTATATGTTTTGAGGAGTGACACCCCCCCCCAAAAAAATTCGTGTCTTTTATCTTATCATTGTCGTTATTAAACGTTCCCCCTTGAGAAAAAAATAGCGCCTCTTCGTAAATCAGATCCTGCCCCGTCGCTGCACTTGGCTGTTGTCATGGTGGCATCTGCCTTTATTTGCGGTACTGTTCTACCCACAGCTCAAGAAGAGGCTCCTTGCAACATATATTCTACAATTTTGCACTTTGCAATTATTACCTGTGTATGCAGGATCTCAGGAAAATTTTAATGATTGTCTGGGGAATTGCTTTCTTTTTTTTATTTTAAACGAGCAGGGTTTTTTGAACCTAAATTAATTGACGTTTGTCAGAAAGGAATTTGTTTGGCTGTACATGGTTGCCTGGAATCTGCACTGACAGGACTGCAGATGATTCCAGTCTACTGTAGAGTTGGGACCTACACACCAAACCGAGCATGAGTAGAGCAGTATTGCTGTGTGACTGCCTGCATGCAAATAACCACATTATAAGTTCTTGTAGTTAATTTATGATCATTTTAATACACAACCATATGAGTAGGTGCAGATTGTATGAGCTAACATTCTTAATTGATATATGGAGATACAAATATTTTCATGTTAACTTCTAAAGTATATTTAAGGAACAAATTTTCTCCAGATATGTGGCTCCAAGAGCCATAGTTTTCATAAGTTACATGATTTTAATTTTTTTAAATTGTGAGATTATTACAAAGTCTCAAAAAAATATAAACCATAATTATTTTAGTTTTCTAATTTGAATTTCTTATGAATTGTTAAAAAGTCAACATTAGAATAGCATAATATCAGTACAGTACAAACACAGTCTTTGCAATAAGATAAAATGAACTTGTAACTGGTAAAAGAGATTCACGAGACATAATGTAGAAGTAAATAAATGTTTGATGTAGAAGAATATCATAGTATACACAATATGTTTTAGACTACACAATATATTTTAGCCTGTAGATATTGTATATGTGCATGAAACATACCTGGATAAAGAAATCCCCCAATGTGAATTTGGCATTGCAGAGTTCCTCAATTGACCACAGTTAACTTTTCATTTTCCTGAACTTTGCTTCAATATGTTAATAGATTTTGAGAGAGGAACCCTTAGAAAAAAGTACATTATTTGAGCTTTCTGACTCAGTGTGAGAGATATCTATTTAAAGAAGCATCAGATTATAATTTCTAGAAAAATCTAATAAGTTCAGTAGTAACCAAATATTCTACAAATTAATTATCGTATTGCATTTTAATGAAGACTTGCACAGATAAGATGGAAAATATTCACATTAGAATCATTTATTCACAGATGGAGAAAACAAAAAAAGGGAAATGTGTTTTGTGACATTAATAATTATTTACCTATGTTTATTTGTTTATTGAATGAATAATTCATTTATATAAAATCTGTGAAAATTGTAGGGGAATTGTAGGGTAAAAGGAATAATTAAATTATTATTCAACAATAAAAGGTAATCAGTTGAATTCTTAGGATTACCAAAAAATTGTTTAAAAAATTACAAATATATTTCTGAAGATAATGTTATAGTGAGATTATATAATGATCCAATGACTGAATTTTAGTGATAATAACTGTTGTGGCCATTGGCCAGAGAATAGCCAAATCTCACAGAACACTAATAGAATCAGCTACAATTAGTACTCGTAAGCTGCTTTTATCCTTACTTCCCTCTGTTACAAGTTGGATATCTGTCATCTTCTTCTCTCTCCCTACCTCTTTCTCTTCTATCCATAGTTTGTATTGTGATAAATTAATGGAAATATCCAGTAATGAAGCATGTAAAATTTTGAAGTTTAACTAAGTTTCCTTAGAATGTAATATGTTGAACTCATTTTGAATTTAATCTGAATAGTTTACACATCGAAATAATTTGTTTCAAACAACTAATGATGAATGTAGACAAAATTAGAAATAACTGCAGCTTCTTGTGAGATCAAGAGTTAGATGTGACATAAAAGATGTTAAATAATTAAGTCAAACAAGAAAAAACATTTTTTAAATTTTCAGAAATGAACAGAATCTAAATAGAAAACAAAAAAGGAGATCACATAGAGAAATGTATAGGATAGTGAATATAGCTTGATAATCTCCTTTGATATATTTCATATTTGTAATATGTATAGTAACTCAATAAAACCTTTGCTGGCATTCGATCAATTTTATAGGATATTTTCTTGTACCTTTGCTGACCTTTAAAATGCTATGTAAATGGTTAAAAATCACAAATTTTTTGAAAGTTAAGATCCTAACTTTCATGAGAAGTGAAAACACATATGATCTGTACTTCGAAATATTCTTTACACTTGCTCTGCTGTGCTATTCCTTCTCTTCACTTTCCTTAAGTAATATATTTACCTCTTTATCCCTTATTTATGATGATAATGATGCATGTTACAAGTGCTTCATTAGATTTACTTGCATTTCCTCTGCTTGATCTCTAGTCTTGTCAGTTTCACTTCTTTTCCTTTTATGGGGAATGGCCTGTAATGATCCACTTGACTGATTTGAAATGGAGCTATAACTGATCAAAAGTTATTAAATCATTCATTGTCTTGAAATAACATTTACATTACTACCGAAACACACCGATCTGTTTTATAGGCCACTGCTAAGGTTCTACCAGTAAATTTTTCGTTCTTGTGGTGAAATCCATGAACTTTGTTTAAAATACTGCTTACAAAACAAAACAATGTAATATTTACATTGTTAAACAGGTATGTGGAACAGCGTGTAAAATTTGTTAATTCCAACTTTCGAATAGTGGTGTGTTTCGGCTGGACAAAAAATGGTGGGATATGTGGTGCCCGGCTAAGCATTTTGCAGTGAAATAGTGACTAGAATTCTAGAAATTAGTTTAGAATAGTGTGATGAAATTGAAATGTAATGAGGCATATGAGTATGGCAGAATAACTGGATTTCTATAATCAAATTCTCTGCAACATTATTTTCCTTTGAAGCAACTCTTAGGTTCCAGAGAATTTGATAATGCAGATCTTGTGAAGAATGAGCTACTCATTATTGAAACTATATAGAAAAGAGGCAAGTGACAGCATGTTTAAAATAGATATGATACATTTATGCTGATGCGAAAATAAAATTGGATTTCTAATTTATTTTTGATATCATCAGGATGTTTCATTCTTTGTCAAAAAAGAACAGTTTCTGAGCACTGCATTCTTACGACACATAATGCGAAACAGTTGCACCGGAGACATTTCAAAATTACACCAGCAGTATTTCAACTTGCCTTCACGTTTTAAATTAGAAAAACAATACAAAAAGAAGCTTTTGCACAGATATTGAATTGATTCACTCGTGGATAACGTCCACAGAATTAGACATCAATGCACATCACTACTCACATAATTACACTTTTTGATCTGAAGATGGTTAAATGCACAAGTGGTGTTCTCAGAATTTCATCACAGCGTGAGATGAATGTTAGTTAAACTTTTCAAATACCTTGTGGTATGAAAATGTCAATATGTTTGCGCTAAATAGTTGTGATGAATTATTTTCAGTGTTTTAAGTGCTGCTTTTAAACACTGGGAACATTAACTTAATAGCACGAAAAGATATCTCGTTGCCGCGGCCGGTGCGACGTGCAGCGGGGCCCGGCGGGGAGGGAGCGGAGTAGTCCGTTGCGGAGGCTGCTAAGCTCCCCGCCCCGCCCCGCGCCGAGCCGCGCCACGCCGCGCCCGCCGCGCACCGCAGAGTCGCACGCCGAGGAGCGCGAATCGCCTCGCGCAACCGCACTGCGCGTCGCTGGCGCCGGGGGGCGGCAGGTGACTGGCACGGGGGTGGCGGGGGCGGCGGTGCGCAGGTCCGCTATGACGACGAGGACGAGGACGAGGGCCCGCAGCCGGACCCCACGCTGGAGCAGGGCGCGCCGATCCCGGTGCGGCTGCAGGGCAGCTTCCCGCCGGAGCTGTCCTCCACGCCGCTCGAGGACATCGACAGCTTCTACCACAACCAGCGGGTGAGCCAGCGGGGAAGGATTAATCCTTCTTGAATGAAGGGTGGAGGGGCGAGCACAAATGCATCCATTCGGACGAGATCGCCACGGCACTACGCACTCCCTTAGCGACCTGGGCTATCCGGATCGGCCCTCCGAAAGTTACGGGAATCCGAATGTTTTTAAAACAAAGCCTTATATTACTACTTCAATAAGCAACTAGTAGTGCTACAACATCACGCGCCTTTTCTATTATTTTTAATAGCCACTCAAAATAACGCAAAAACTACACGTATTTTGAATATAGTTTACGTGACATTATTTAAAGGTCTAATTTTAAATAACAGATTTCAAGAAGTAAAAAAAATTACATCTTCAATATTGTAATTTAGAAAGATGCCGTAAAAGTCGAAAATTTTTCACTTTCAAATAGCAAAAATTCGAGTTTTTAACGAAAATCGGACGTGTCCCATTTTTATAACCGTGCTCTAATCTAATCGAAAAAATATAAAGAAAAACGTGTAAATGCAACCCCGCAATACACAGCACGCTTCATTCCATGTTCGCTTCGCTCTGTTTACGGGGGGATGCTGAGTTATGTTCCTTAAGTTGTATTTTACAAAAGTTTATATTTTTTGCTCTTCTATAATATGGGGGTTCAGCTCTTTTGGATTCTCTAGCTATTCAGAATTTCCAGTCTCATCCGTCAGGTTATTCTCCGCCGGCACTGCTCTCTCCACGACTGCGCACGTAAGGTTTGAGAAAGTAAGCTCAATGAAGAAGGCTTAAAATAAATAATGTAATTTGTAGTTAAAGATAACTATAAGTGGGGAAGTAGATGGGAAGCGCGCGGTGTCCATGAGGTCGTGCGCGAAGCGCGCGGGTTCAAAAGGAGAACACGCGAGGAGCTTGAGAAGGGACAGGTGTAGGCCGGGAGTTTATTAAGCTGTATCCTACAATATTATACCCTTTCGAACCCCCTTTTTGCAAGTTTAGCTCTTCTGGGTGCCCTTGATCCATAACAGGGTAATTAAAAGCCAGTAATATCTCGAAGTCTGTAAAATTAAATTGAGTATTTAACATTCTGTGCTATTTAATATTAACTGTATGTCTTCCTGCTGGTTAATAAACACTGAGTAATATTTAAATGTTTACCCACCGGGCCTGTTATGTTGTAAAGCACCGTACAAAAGAACTAGTTTGAAGTTGGAATCCACAATGAATCTATTTTCACTTTTAAACCTGTACTATTCAAAGTGAGACATGTGTATTAGCATATTACCTGATGTGGTGAGTGATTCGCATGAAAATGCTACCGCAGAAGCAACTAGTCTAAATACAAGTTTGGTATTTCGAAGGACAAAACGCCTACCTACGCCTTAGATGTGTTCTGGCGAAACTACATTGATATACTTTCGAAAGCATTACGTAGTCTGCTGATAAAAATAATGGTCGGAGGTTTTGGGCTAGAGCGGCCTCCTTCCTGAACAGATCGCAGAGCAACAAGACGTGATGGAGCGTAGCGGGGAAGTCGGGAGGGGTGAATTCAGTCGGGGCTGGGCGGAACGGAACCGAACGGAACGGAACGGAACGGAGCTGAACAAAACACGATTATCGGGGTATGTAAATCAAGAAGACGAAGTTATTTAAATGATTTCAAAAGTGCCTTCGTTATAAATTTCTGAGAATTATTAAATGTGTATACATAAGTAAAAGGAAATGTGCGTATGTCTGTCGCATATAGACGCAAAAACTACTCGACCGTTTTTGTTGAAATTTGCACACCTTGTTCTTATTTGTGTGGCGAGTTTTTATAGTGTATTTGTAATTAAATCAGATATGTGGGAACGTTGTTAATTGTGACTCACTCAGTATACTCACGCGCCCCTGAACAGAAGCGCAAGACAACCTGCCGCACAGTCAAGTATTAAGCGCGTGATGGCTGCATATTCTGCCCCTGCGATTGTGACATATTGGTCGGAATTTTAATACGCAATACTACTTGACCGTTATCTCGAAGCAAATCAAATTTCTCCACGACAGTCATAGCGAACGCCAGCCCAAACTTGGGAGAGAACATTTTAACAAAAGGATAGACAACCATATCCAAACCAGGACTGCAGGACAAACTGGACTGTAAGACTCAAGATCAGGACGTAAAACAAACCCATACTCACGGAAGTTTTTCGTCTATTAGAATTTTCGCTGATCGTAGCGTCAAACGCGATTAACAATCACGTGACCAGTAGCATGAGAAGTGTATTTCACTGCAATGGCGAAGCATTGCCAGACCCTAGAAAAAATAATAAATAAATATGAGTATTTGGAGAAAAAATTAAGTCTAAAACATGATATTCTCATACTGTATACACACAAAAAAAATAAGAGAAATGCAAAGCCTTATATTTAAAATATGCCTTTTGCTGTTGTGGTTAAACTGACACAGCCATTTCAATGCTTGAAAACAAGCATTTTCTAATTTTAAGAACAGTAATTGAACATCCCTCTTCTAACCTATTGTTAGTTAATTCCATCACACCTGTCCATTGATTCTCTCATAAAAAAATATCAAGAGAAAGGAAAGGCTCTCATAATAAATTATAAATCAAATTCAATGTTTTGTTAGAGTTATAAACAAGAAAATATTTTGAAGAACAATTTGGCCTTAACAAAAAGTTAATTTATTGTTCAAATTCCCCCCTCCCTAAATAATGACTTGTGACATTTATCCAATAGTCTGTTATTTGTGATCAAAGTTTATATCATTATTATGTCAAAATATCAAAAGTAAATTTATTTAAATTACTTGAATGAACATTATTCATTGAATATTTTTTTATTATATTGTATTTTGTACACTTGTGACTTTAAAAACTAAATTATGTTTCAGATGTAATTAAGAATTAAATATATAAATTAAGTTGCCACATAAATGGCAGTTAATTATCATCAAGTGCAAATAAGACTTAATTCAACAAAAAAATAATAATATTCAATATAACTATTCTAATAAAATGTGATACAAATTTATTATTTTAACAGAACTTGAAAAATCACTTTTAATGAGTGTTCTCTGTCTTAGCCTGTCTTAGCCGTCTTAGCCTTCTATTATTGAATGTAGTTATATTTCAAATGCTAATAATTGTTTTTACTGGCCAATAAGAAATTCCAATTTTCTTTTGCAGACGTTTGTGGTAGTAAGCAAAGGAAAGGACATCTTCAGGTTCAGTGCAACAGATGCCATGTGGATACTTGATCCGTTCAACCCTATCCGAAGAGTGGCAATTTACATCCTTGTTCACCCTCTATTTTCACTCTTCATCATCACAACCATCCTGACCAACTGCATCTTTATGATCATGCCCACCACCCCAACAATTGAATCCACAGAGTAAGTATTATGTGATGAAATTACTGTAAATTATTATGCTGGGTGATTTTTTTTCTCTCTCTCTGCATTAGTTGCAAGAGAGGAAACAGGGCTGGGCAATTTTTTTGTCTGTCTTTATTACTATTATACTAGTAATTTCTTTAAGCATAACAAGAAGATAATTACATAATTTTTTTAATCAAATACATATAATTATTTTGTATCATTGTGTGTATGTCTTATAATCAGATTCTTTCATTACGAAGATTACACCAGCTCACAGTTTTTGGTGGTTGTTGCCCAACCCTGAATTAGGTATAATTCTTAATGGATTATTATTCAGTCATTTCTGTGATGGCATTTATGATTTCCTGCATGACAATGCATGCCAGTACACCTTACTACAGCTCAAATGCAGATTTTTTACATTAAGAAAGAGTAAAAATGAAAATATTTTACTATATTGATTACTCAAACTATATTGATATGATATGATTTACTCAAACTGTATTGATTGACAAAATTATGCTTTTCTCAAAACAAAAATTACAATGAAATATAAAAAAATATTATGATACATCAAACTATGCTCTTGTTAAGACGATGCCTAAAAAAATTAAAAAAAAAGCTATATAAAATTTCCCTAATGTCAAAAATCAGGAAATGTCATATGTAAGTAGATGTATTGGCATCTCTGTAATTTTCAAGCACTGATGTAATTAGCTGTTAATAGTGATATTTCATTGTTTCTTGAAAGTATGTAAAAATTAATGTTTCTGAAATCTCTTCAGTGAATCAAAGTACGAGAAAAAATTGAAGAGAAATATTGTCTCATGATTTTTGTTTAAATTTCAAATAGCAACAATAATAATAAGATAACTGGTCATAAAAAAGTATTTTTTTCTTCTTCATGCATTTTGTTTCAAGTGATTTACAGAAATTCTAAAATAAAAGGTGTTATTTTCTTCCCAAAGCAATAATGTCTAAATATGGAGTTGTTTTCTCTCTCTCTCTCTCTCTCTCTC